ACATTAAGAAAAAAAGCAATTTTTTACTGCAGAGAGCTGAAACTTCGTATAGATGTGTAATAAATTAAGAACAACATATTGTGTGAGTTTGAATTCAATTTATTGAGGTTTCCTACTTTTATTGAATATTTCGTTTTTCTCTATAAGACCTTCAGAGAAAATCCGACAAGTACTGAGCTTGGGCTACCTGTGGCGTTCCAAGCAATTAAAACAAAGTGACGCTACGTAAGCAGTCTGGATCACGCGACTGCCTGTTCCATCAGGAAGTTACTCTTGACAAATTATCTTTCAAGCTACTGCGTTTTTCAAGCGTTTAAAGTTCATTTTTATATCGTAAAGTAGAACATCTTCGAATCAAAGTCATAGTCGTTCGTTTATTGTGTAAAATCACGACCTTGGTGATGTTTGTAAGTTGATCGAAACACTTCAGACCCGCTTCAGTCAAGCAAAGAGAAGCAGATTCTCGCCAAACATGACTTTATACTGAAGTTTTATACTGAAGGTAAAATACATTTTTTTTATTTTCCATGCATATTTATTACATTCTTAAAGCCGTGCAGAGAGTTGAATTACAGTGGGTGACGAGAACCCTCTACGACCTTGTCATTATTTTTCAGCATACCAAGAGTTAGCATACCAATGTAGACTGTTCTAGAACTCATTAAGTTAAATTATTTTTAAATGCCATTTTCCAAGAAGTCACGTGATTTGATTAATGTCTTTACGACACGATTCAATAATWTTCCTTCAAAAATGGACCAAAGAAGAGTATTTCACTTAAAAACAGATATTTTAGGACTAGATTTCCTAGACTGAATAAATCGCAAAAACATAATTACAACTATGCATATGTTTGAAAAAGGTCACGGGAATTTTCCCTGTTTTGTTACGCTTCAAAAATTATTCATCAGCACTGAACCAATCAGAAYGAAGGTTGTCAAAGTGTTGATATTAATATTGATTTCAGGTTAGTATAGCAGTTTCATCATAATAACCATAACTGATGATCAAAAAGCATACTGTACGTGTGGTAGTAATAAGAGTCTAACTTGAGAACTATTCTTGAGGTAAGCTTTTATAGATGATGAGAAGAATAACAAGATAAGTTTTGAAATATTTTTAACTTACAAGTGTTTGGTTCTAGGTTATTCAGCTTACAGAAAATTGAAATCAATTTATCATCATACCCATCAAAGTCCCCAACAAGACCAGAAATCTTCTAGCTGATTTTATAGGTAATTTGAAAATTTCGAGTAATGCTGTCTGAGGTGTCTACTGGAGTAACTTATACAACGTTTTGCAAGCAATAAAATGAACGTTTTGACCCCAGTCAAGGTCAAAGGGACGGCTGAGCCCCCCCCCAATATTTTTCTGATATTGCTTCTTCAATTCTTGAGAATTAAAAGTAACGAACTTAGAATTGACACCGAGACAAGAGCACGCATTCTTGGTCATGTTGGTTGCCAAGCAAAACTTTTCATTATTTGTTTGGCCTCCATACAAGTCATCGTTTGTTCGCGTAAATCTTCATCAGCAACAGCTGGGCAAAGACTGGCTGGCCTAACTGTTGACACTAGTTTGCAAAGTTTACGAAAAGGCGAATCATTCAATGCATTTCACAACGTTATTTTTACGAAATCTAAAGAGCTTGAAAATCTCTCCTAGACTAAAACTCGACCAAGACTAAAACGCGTCATCAGTATTTTTGGTACTTTTGAGGCACCAAAATGAAGTTAGCCTGGGATTCGCAGCCTTAGATTCACATTGCCTGAGAATGAGATTCGTTTCCGGKGGGGTGAAGCAATTTTCTTTTAAAAGCGTTTCAACGCTATAATATCGTTATAATGAACATCAAAACACATAAATTGTATAGACATAAGTGGATATAGTTGTTATATTTTATATTTTCAACAAAAAATCCGTTCGAAAAGAAATTTTATCAATTTTTACCTTCAGCCTTAGATTCAAACTTTCAGCATAAGATTCACAATCACACAAATGAGAGCAGTTTCAGTCTGGCCTTGGATTGCATTGACGTTATGTGATATCTTTACAGTGCAACACTTGATAATGAGTGTTAATGTATTAAATTACACCCCAGCCTGAGATTCGCTTTAACGTTACGTAAAATGGCTTTAATTACACCCCAGCCTGAGATTCGCTATCCCGTTACGTAAAATAGTTTTAATTACACGCCAGCCTGAGATTCGATTTCACGTTACGGAATTCGGCTTTAATTACACGTCAGACTGAGATTCGCTTTCACGTTACGTAAAATGGCTTTAATTACATCAGACTGGCGTGTAATTAAAACTATTTTACGTAACGGGATAGCGAATCTCAGGCTGTGGTGTAATTAAAGCTATTTTACGTAACGGGAAAGCAAATCTCAGGCTGGCGTGTAATTAAAACTATTTTACGTTACGTGATTCAATGCGAATCTCAGCCTGGGGTGTTATTAAAGCCATTTTACGTAACGGGAAAGCGAATCTCAGGCTGGCGTGTAATTTAATACATTAACACTCATTATCAAGTGTTCCATTGTAAAGATATTACATTTAAACGTCAATGCAATCCAAGGCCAGACTGAAACTGCTCTTATTTGTGTGATTGTGAATTTTATGCTGAAAGTTTGAATCTAAGGCTGAAGATAAAAATTGTTAAAATTCTTTTCGAACGGAATTTTTGTTGAAAATATAAAATATAACAACTATATACACTTATCTCTATACAATTTATGTGTTTTGATGTTCATTATAATGATATTATGGCGTTAAAACGCTTTTAAAAGAAAATTGCTTCACCCCCCCGGAAACGAATCTCATTCTCAGGCAATGTGAATCTAAGGCTGCGAATCCCAGGCTAACTTCATTTTGGTTTTTGAGGCGATGGTCAAAAAGTTTAGTTTTAAAATTACTTGGGAGGGTCACACATGTTTTCGAAAAATTTCTCTGAAAACTCTCCTCAGCCCTCCCAAGTAATATAAACGATAAACGTACCTTCCCTTAACCTGCTCCTCCGTCCCGGGCCTTTGGATAAGTTTTAAGGTCCGTACAAACCCGTATTTTCCCGGCTTGAAGTTCCGCGTGCTTTTATTTATTTTTTTACTTTAAAAACGCTGTCATATGATAAAATGCTTATTTGTACGCTGCGCTCGGTCCGTACGGCATAACCTCGAGCCAAATATTATGTACTTATTGACTGAGTGGGAGGGCCGTACGGGAAAATATTTGGCTCGAGGTTATGCCGTACGGACCGAGCGCAGTACAAAT